TATCAGTGATGTAAAAAGAAAGCGAAAAACCAAGCTAACTCCCCAATAGGGGGGTAAAAAGATGACAAAAGCCAGGTATACTGAGAAAGAGGCTTTGGAGGAAATTCTTAGTGAATCAGATGCTGGGAGCGACCTGGACCAAGATGACTGACTCAGATGGGGAAAAAATGTTTTCTAGAACGATTGGATTCTGTTTTAGATCTGTAAGTAAATTATTTTGTATAACTGTCTATAGTTAGGATATGTATTTAGTATTTTTTATATAGTTGTGGTCTGCTTCATTTTGTTTTGCATTTACAGTTGCGCTGTGTAGCCTATATCCTGTGTATCATTCCTAAGTAGTTACATATTGTATCAGTGTAACTAATGCCTAAGAGAGAGACCAATTTCTACTCCTTCCTCTATTACTAATGGGGATAGACCAACTATATCAACATCAACCATCAGACAGGGCCTGCAACTGCCTTTTGCACGTAGCTTGTTTGAGTTGGAGACTCCATGTGACTTAGAAAATGGCAAAGGACTTGGGTTGATGCATCTGAACATTAGGAGCTTACTTCCTAAACTGGATTACATCAAGATCTGGGCTGTGCAGACGAATCCGGACATTCTGGTACTGACTGAAACTTGGATCTCTTGGGCCATTCTGGACTATTGAGGGTTATAATGTGTTCGGAGCTGACAGACAGGGTAGAGATGGTGGAGTTGCCATTCTTATTAACCCATAAGAGTCTAAGCCGGGTGTGTGTGTGTGTGGGGGTGGGTGGTTCTACTAAGATATATGGAATTGTTTTAAGAAGGTCATACCAAGGATCATTTTGCTATTTGATGTTGAATTTTAAGACCCCTTGAAGTATAAAAAAATATTTAAAACAATTATTTGATTAACATTTGTATTTGGCCTTACTGCTATTAGCCCATACAAATGCACTGAATAACAGATTCACTACATGGAACAACAGATGGTCCCCCAAAAAAAATCTAAAGGAAGTTTGTTCTGAAGTGTCTGTCCTATATCTGAGAGATATAAGAAAAATTTGGAAACTTTTTTTAAATATTGTTTTTACATGTATTTAACCCCTTATTTTTGGCACTAAACAGTCTACATAATTCCATACATTTTTTCCAACTGGTATCGGGGGACCTTCAGACGAGTCTTGTGAGGCATCCTAGAACAAAACAACCGACATGTATGTGTTCGTGAGAGTCTCACCTTTCAACAGAGGGGTCATATTTGTGTGTAGCCTGCTTGGGTCCAGGTTAGGAACACAGGCTTAGGCCCGGACAGGCAGGCTTTTAAGCAACTGAGGAATCATTTTGTAAGACAAATCAGAAAGGCTAAATCTGATTATTATGTAAACGCTCTTTCGGATTTCAACGGGAACCCGGCTAAATTCTGGAAAAGTGTCAAATCCCTGAAGTGTTCTACTTCCTCCTCTCTGCCACAACAAATGAATTCAGACACTGGCCTCATTATGGAAAAAAATTGCCATACTTATGTAATCAAGATATATTAGTGTTTTATTTTTCATTAATTTTTTACGTTAGAATTTTAATTCCACTTTGACAGAGTATTTTGCATAGATCGTTGACAAAAAATGACAAATCCATTATAATCCCACTTTGTAACACAACAAAATGTGGAAAAAGTCAAGGGGTGTGAATACTTTCTGAAGGCACTGTATATATTTTGTTTATAATGTGTATATTTATGTTGTATTATACAGGGCACATTTGGAAAAAAAAGACCTAGGTCTCAATATGTCCTCCCTGTTAAAATAAAGGTGAATTAAGAAAACGAGGCATTTCCTTTTATTCCATGTCCGACTAGAGAGCTGATGGTATGAAAATGTTTGGTCACTGTTGTTAACATGCCACAATCATATCATCAGAAAGCAATGCAATCTGTAAAGACAAAGTTGCACACAAAATACACAGTCATCCATTTCATTAACACACTTTGTTTTGCATTGGGTTGTATTGGGTTCATGTTTGACAAGGCAGCACACTCATCACTACTGTACAGTTTGCTTTGTATTTTGACTCAGTAATTCCCGAGTATTAACTATGAGTCACCATCACCGTCCTGTCCATTCTTGTCTGCTCTTGCCCTTTACTCAGTATTTCAGAAACTCTTGCCCTGTGGAGTTTTAGGTATTCCCATCAATGCCCACCCCCACCATTGTCCTCCTCGTCCTCTACCAGTGAGATGCAGATTATAGGTTCTTACCAATTATATGTATTGGGGTGCTGTTTGAAGACACCGTCCGCCATTATGATACTCTTCATAAGGAACAACCTCCATAGGTTTTATGGGATTTTACAGTATTTCAACGTAATGTTTCAAGGACAAAAATACATGCATTTCTTTGTTGTAGTGGGGACTGCAACATATATTATTTTTATTTTCCATTATTATTGAAAAATGATTGGCTTCTATTCAGCTCATACAATATTGGCTTCTATTCAGTTCATACACTACTATGTATTGTTTAAAAAATGTATGCATTACAGTGTCTGTAATGAATTTTAAAAAACGTCTTTATCTTCCAAAACCTGTAGCTGTTTAAACGAAAACATGTAGCTCATCTCTATACACTACAAAAAACACAATGTAGGTTACTATCATGTAAAGCTGGAGAAGGTAATGTATGATCCCATAATAATGTTTTCAATATTGCTAACCAATTTAAGATCAGTCTTGTTACTCCCCCATGAAGCCCGTAAAAATAAATTGCATTAGAGTTAAGATCAATTAATTACTCTTAATACAATAAACCAATTAACTGTTCACTCATACTGTAAAAACACTTGGTTCACTGATGGCCTTTTTGTATACATCATGTCATACTAGACTGGCTGTTAACGTTAACATTCATTGTCAATGCACTATTTGTTCAACAGTTGTGAAAGGACTATTAGAAAATCCATAAGAACAGTTAAATTGCATCACCACTTCATCCATGATTAATAACATCAACAATGGGCTATCGTTTTGTAAACTAGAATAGCGTATATGGACATTTGCTTACATGCGTTGCTATAGTTACACCGTACCACAAGCTGGCAGGAGCGGTCTGTCTCTTAAAATAGACCCAAAAAGTGCATTTTCTACACTATTAATTTCGATACTTACATATGAAATGTCTTCCCACATCCCTTAAACTGGCTGCATCCATATGCTGCACATCGTGTCATTGTTGATAAGTTGGCTATTTTAATAATGGGGATATCGTTTTTCCATGATTCACTTCCATTAATCAAAGCCCCGAGAAAAGAGGAGTATGATAATGGCGGCCAGGTGGTTTCAAAGGCAAGACATAGCGTCAGCTACAGTGGCATAGCAGTTTTTTTGGGGGGTGGAATATTTGTTTTAACTTCCATTAGGGAAGAGAGAAAAATGTGCAGTATTATAGCTCATGCTATTTTACACATTTTGCCATGATGCTGAGAGAAAATTTTGCTGTTTTAGAGCTCAGGGATTCTTGAAAGACGGGACATTATCAACTTTTTTCCACAAATATTTGTCTTAATATTAACAACATTTTAAATATACACTACAGGTCAAAAGTTTTAGAACACCTACTCATTCAAGGGTTTTTCTTTATTTTTACTATTTTCCACATTGTAGAATAATAGTGAAGACATCAAAACTATGAAATAACACATATGGAATCATGTAGTAACCAAAAAAATGTTAAACTAATCAACATTTATTTTATATTTGAGATTCTTGAAATAGCCACCCTTTGCCTTGATGACAGCTTTGCACACATTCTGATTGTCTACACCGGTCTAAAAATGTGGGCACAATCAAAATAAACATTGTGATATGATTGTGAAAAGTTCATCCTGCCAACCTCCGGAGGTACAGTAGTCAGACACGCATTGTGTCTGGATATCTTACAAGTGTAGACAGATCTGGACAGAGAGAACATTTAAATCAGAATTATTCCGCCCTCTAAAATAATTGACAGGTGGCACCATTGACTGATAACATCAATATGTGCCTTACAATATATCAATAAAAATTATTTAGAAAGAATAGTTGTGAAATAATTTGCATAAAGGAATGGGCCAGGAAATCTGTTCACAGTGCAGTGGATGGATAACAGACACATTTTAATACCATGTGTAGACACATTTCTGGAAATGTGGGCACAATCAGAATGTAGACAAGATCAGGACAAAGGACCCATGTTAGCACCAGGTATACACAGGGCTAGAATATTTTTTCCCCAGTTCAGTTGGAGAGGTATCAGTCATTAGTCATGTTTTGTCAGTCTATGAAGTCAGATGAACAGTGGTTACCACTAGAGTGCGTATGTTCCTGTCAGTGTGGTCTGGTAACACATGGAGATAGTTGCTATGTTCCTGTTGCTATCATTTGAAGAGAAATGTACCTTCATGTGTGTGATTGTGTTTAATCCCCTGTGTTGTGCAAATAGAAAAAACCCTGGATTTCCCTGTGTTGTTCACACCGCACAATTTGAAGAGTAAAGTAAATTGGCACCTGGGATAAATAAGCAAACACAGGACTTTCCCTTAGAACTGCATTACAATTAGGAAATATTATGTCTGTTATTAGGCATATCATTGTAGAGACAAAATATTTCAAAAATAAAATTGTTTGATAGGTTTACTCAGCCAATAGGCTATGATCTATTCTGCAAGTAGCCTATAAACTCCCTTCACAAAATTATATTATATTTTGTTTTCTTTTAATTAATTTCATGAGTGAATTTATTTGTTTTGTTTTTCATTTAGGCTATTCTTTGCTTTTATGTAGGATTATGCAAAAATGGCCAAGCCCCTTTGCAGTGTTCTAACATAAACCTAATCTGTTGAGTTTTTAAGGGGTTCATTTTATGTTGGATAAACGGCCACAAGTATGAAAATGCAGAATTGAAATATGTGGAGCAGAAATTTCCCCATGGAGACCGTTTGGAGTCCTGCGTTCCGCCTGGAAATCCCCCACCCTGTGTTGACTCCTCCCCCTCGGGCACTACTGAGAATTTAACGTTGGTGTATGTCAAATTCTGAATTACAACCAACACAGCAGCCAGTGTCAACAATGGACCTTCATCGAGCTAGTATCCTCAACCACATGGATTATAACACTGATGGTCGACATTCTAAGGATAGGAAAGTGCAATCTATCAACGAAGAGCGGCTGGACAGCGGCCTTGACTCTCTCAAAGACGAGGAATATGAAGTTGTCGCCAGTGAGCTCGAGCGTCTTCGTGTGGATTGTCCCCCACCGCAGAGAGACGAATGCGGCAATGAACCCTGGAAGGAACAAGTTTTAGAGGACGGAGACACGTATGTTGAGAAACTATAATAAAATCAATGGACATTCAAGTTGTTTCCATATCAGAAGTTAGTTACATGAAATCGACTTTAAAAAAATGTTTTTTTGTTATTTCTAGGTTATACAATAAGCTTATTTTTGTAGTCGAGTAATTATAGCGCAATTGTGGTTGTCTTCCTGTGTGCAAAAGTTACGTTTGCGTTTGCATGCAAAGTAGCTTCTAAACAATGCACAAGGAAGGTATTGGCCTTAGTGGGCTTTACGAAAACAAACCTTTCAGAACGGAATGTACTATGGCCAGGGGTCAAAGAAGGCGGCGCTCACACTTTGCCAGCTGGGAAAGTCCCGGGCCTCGTGCCAGAAACCTGATAAAACTGCAACGTGCGCAAGTGCGTCAAGCAACCACTAGTAGAAATAGATTGAGGGAAGGGTGTGACGCCTGTTTTAAGTGCTGCCTGTTTTAATCGTTATATATGTCGTATTCATGAGTCATCTGAGCAGTTAATAATTCCCCATTTTTTTTTCTATGCAGGCTTCTCCACCTTGCCATTATACATGAAGCCAAGGACTGTGCAAGGAAGTTGATCGAGCTGTCATGCAATGAGCCTTTCCTCAATCAACAGAACTACCAGAGACAGGTAAATACAGCTAAAACCTGCACAATTACAGTAATGCATAAATAGAATACAAGGTGTGTATGAAAAATGTATGCACTCACTAACTGTAAGTCGCTCTGGATAAGAGCGTCTGCTAAATGACTAAACATGTAAAATGTGTGTGTTTGTGTGAGAGAGATCGAGAGAGGGTCGAGCGAGAGACTCATATATGTTTTTACATTTTAGTCATTTAGCAGACGCTCTTATCCAGGGCGACTTACAGTTAGTGAGTGCATTCAATGTATTTTTTTTTTCATACTGGCCCCAGTTCCTAACCATACCTGTCCTGCTCCCCTATACAGACTCCTCTCCATCTGGCTGTGATCACAGAGCAGGCTGAGATAGTGGAGCGTCTGCTGAAGGCTGGCTGTGACCCCATGCTAGTGGACGACAGTGGCAATACAGCCCTCCACATTGCATGTAGGAGGGGCTCGCTCACCTGCTTCAGTGTCCTCACCCAGACCCAGGGCTGCTCTACCCAGCTCCCAGCCATCATGGCCACGCCAAACTACAGTGGTAAGACACTGAAACATTTCTAGTTTATTTTCTGTTACTTGTTTCAGCTGGTGGGGAACCTGTGGCCATACTGGAACTAAGCAATTACAAAAATAATGTGTAACAACAATGTTACTGTAGTAATTACACAGGTATAAGAGCAACTTAATGTAAAGTATTACCCTGTTCTCTGACCATTGGTCTTCCTCTGCTCTCTGTTTCAGGTCAGAACTGTTTGCATCTGGTCTCTATCCATGGCTTTCTCTCGCTAGTGGAGAGCCTTGTTGCTCTAGGAGCTGACATCGATGCACAGGTAGGCTATGCAGCAAGTTAGCCTTTTTTCAACCCCACCCTCACAATAGTCCATTTGATTATGTCATTCACATTTCCTAAAAAGCACCCAAATGCTGTGTATTTCCCATTAACTTATTTGGCATTGTTTGTCCCTTGGATTCCAGGAGCAGTGTAATGGCCGCAGCCCTCTCCACCTGGCTGTGGACCTACAGAACCTGGACTTGGTACGGCTCCTGGTCAGTAACGGGGCTAACGTCAACAGCCTGACCTATGGAGGTCACACGCCGTACCACCTGACCTACGGACGCCAGAACGCCGCCATCCAAAGGGAACTGTATGAGCTGACGGCTCAGGAGCTGAGAGAACTGCCAGACAGCGAGTCTGAAGACAGTGAGGAAGAGGGACAGTCTGATGAGGAAGAGGTGAGTGTGACTGAACTGATGTGAGTGTATGTGAGGCATCTCTACTGTGTGTGATTGCTTATGTAGTGTAGGGTTTTTCCATATCGTTTTGTAGTGAAACAGCTGTGAAAACAGTTCAGCATATCTAGCTGTATGTCATGAGTGAACCTAGCAGATTCGATGTTTTAGATAGTCATAAGTTAACTTTGGCTCTAATCCACCTTCTCCTTTCCTTTCGCAGGTAACATGTTGGTATGATGACATTCAATGGAATGGGCACAAGTAGGAAGTAGACCAAAGAACCTGTAGAGAACGGTAGTACAGACAGAGAGAACCTCTCCTGCCCACAGGCTCTAGCAATGGTACAGTGGCATGCCCAGCAGTGGTGCCAACCTCAGAGGTAGAGGATGGCAAAAGGCTGGGGTACAACACCCCAGGACTGACGACGTGATGATGGACAGTGTGAACCAATGAGAAGATGACAAATATACAAAATGGATGCCAATAAATAATGGTCTTTATGGCTCTATGAAAGATACTCATTATCACAAAGCAAACATCCAACCAATGATGTAATAGCATCTGCATGTATTATATTGTAAATGGCTGTGAATACAAATACATATTTTTTTTTATAACTAACTGTAAATGTATAAAGTTTGACATTACTGTAAATGCTTTCCATTGCTTGTGGAAAGGTAAAGCAAGCCACACACTCCAGTAAATTAAAACATGACATTTAACTTTGCCTTGATTTCTGGTGTTTTTCCATCAGTGTTGGAGATAGTGATGAAAAAATGTGCTTTTTTTTCTCCATTACTTGAAAGTACAGGCAACATGCCCAATGGACTATTTGGAAAGTGACCATATATCTCTGAGACTGAATTATTTAATTATGTTAAATAAATCAAACAGATCCTGAAAGGTCAGTGTTCAAGACAAACACATCATTTTTATGCAGATAAAATGGCAAATCACAAATGCCTGAACAGAATAAGAGACTCCAAGTGTCAAGATGCTGGTTTATCAAGCTTGTGAATGAGTCGCAGGCATGTGAGCCGTAACATCTATCCATAGACTTGTATAGGTCTGTATCTATATTGTTATAGCTGAGTACACTGGGATTTCTTGTAAGGGTGGGGCCAAGACGGGCAGCGGTGAAAATTCCGCTGGGAAGTCATAGTTCCCGGACACGGCATTCCAGACATGAGGAACTTCACAGAATTCCTCACTTAGAATTAGTCAGAAGAAGAAGGGATTCTCCAAAGTACATTGTGATAATTAAGAAAGGTAATGTGATGAGGAATATACAGCATAACTATGATTAACTGCGTGTTTGTACAAACAGTCTGCCAGAAATGTACAGACTACTAGAAATCTGAGACTAGTGCCCGTGTGGTTGTACAAGCTAAAAAGCTCACGGGATTCTACCATAGAGCTACTAGTGTTTATACTAAAAAGATGAGTAATTTTGCCCTGTCGCTCTACTTTTCAGTGGTGTATTCTCAAAGAAACCTCTGCAAGTGAAGGCAAATTATTTAGTCATAGCATGCTCACCCAAAGCCCCTAAGTCAGCAGGAAACACAGAGGGACAGTCAGGCATTTCAGAAAAGAGTCCCAATGGGGGATAAGAGGGGCTCATATGATTCAGCATGACAAGGAGAAATGACAAAGCCTTCGGATGGAAAATCCGGACTGTCTTCATGAAGGGGAAAGTATTCAGAACCCTTCACTTTTTCCACATTTTGTTATGTTACAGCCTTAATCGAAAATTGATAAAATTATTTTTTCCCCTCATCAATCTAAACACAATACCCCATAATGACAAAGAGAAAACAGGTTAAGAAATTTTAGGAAATTTATTAAAAAAACAAAGAAAACAAATACCTTTACATAAGTATTCAGACCCTTTTCTATGAGACTCGAAATTGAGCTCAGGTGCATCTTGTTTCCATTGATAATCCTTGAGCTGTTTCTACAATTTGATTGGAGTCCACTTGTGGTAAATTCCAATTGATTGGACATGATTTGGAAAGGCACACACCTGTCTATATAAGGTCCCATAGTTGACAGTGCATGTCAGAGCAAAAACCAAGCCATGAGGTCGAAGGAATTGTCCGTAGAGCTCTGAGACAGGATTGTGTCAAGGCACAGATCTGGGGAAGGGTGCCATAAAATGTCTGCAGCATTGAAGGTCCCCAAGAACACAGTGGCCTTCATCATTCTTAAATGGAAGAACTTTGGAACCACCAAGACTGGAAACAGGATGCACCTGAGCTCAATTTCGAGTCTCATAGAAAAGGGTCTGAATACTTACAGTGGGGAAAAAAAGTATTTAGTCAGCCACCAATTGTGCAAGTTCTCCCACTTAAAAAGATGAGAGGCCTGTAATTTTCATCATAGGTACACGTCAACTATGACAGACAAATTGAGAAGAAAAAAAATCCAGAAAATCACATTGTAGGATTTTCTATGAATTTATTTGCAAATTATGGTGGAAAATAAGTATTTGGTCAATAAGAAAAGTTTCTCAATACTTTGTTATATACCCTTTGTTGGCAATGACACAGGTCAAACGTTTTCTGTAAGTCTTCACAAGGTTTTCACACACTGTTGCTGGTATTTTGGCCCATTCCTCCATGCAGATCTCCTCTAGAGCAGTGATGTTTTGGGGCTGTCGCTGGGCAACACGGACTTTCAACTCCCTCCAAAGATTTTCTATGAGGTTGAGATCTGGAGACTGGCTAGGCCACTCCAGGACCTTGAAATGCTTCTTACGAAGCCACTCCTTCGTTGCCCGGGCGGTGTGTTTGGGATCATTGTCATGCTTAAAGACCCAGCCACGTTTCATCTTCAATGCCCTTGCTGATGGAAGGAGGTTTTCACTCAAAATCTCACGATACATGGCCCCATTCATTCTTTCCTTTACACGGATCAGTCGTCCTGGTCCCTTTGCAGAAAAACAGCCCCAAAGCATGATGTTTCCACCCCCATGCTTCACAGTAGGTATGGTGTTCTTTGGATGCAACTCAGCATTCTTTGTCCTCCAAACACGATGAGTTGAGTTTTTACCAAAAAGTTCTATTTTGGTTTCATCTGACCATATGACATTCTCCCAATCCTCTTCTGGATCATCCAAATGCACTCTAGCAAACTTCAGACGGGCCTGGACATGTACTGGCTTAAGCAGGGGGACACGTCTGGCACTGCAGGATTTGAGTCCCTGGCGGCGTAGTGTGTTACTGATGGTAGGCTTTGTTACTTTGGTCCCAGCTCTCTGCAGGTCATTCACTAGGTCCCCCTGTGTGGTTCTGGGATTTTTGCTCACCGTTCTTGTGATCATTTTGACCCCACGGGGTGAGATCTTGCATGGAGCCCCAGATCGAGGGAGATTATCAGTGGTCTTGTATGTCTTCCATTTCCTAATAATTGCTCCCACAGTTGATTTCTTCAAACCAAGCTGCTTACCTATTGCAGATTCAGTCTTCCCAGTCTGGTGCAGGTCTACAATTTTGTTTCTGGTGTCCTTTGACAGCTCTTTGGTCTTGGCCATAGTGGAGTTTGGAGTGTGACTGTTTGAGGTTGTGGACAGGTGTCTTTTATACTGATAACAAGTTCAAACAGGTGCCATTAATACAGGTAACGAGTGGAGGACAGAGGAGCCTCTTAAAGAAGAAGTTACAGGTCTGTGAGAGCCAGAAATCTTGCTTGTTTGTAGGTGACCAAAGACTTATTTTCCACCATAATTTGCAAATTCATTAAAAATCCTACAATGTGATTTTCTGAATTTTCTTTTCTCAATTTGTCTGTCATAGTTGACGTGTACCTATGATGAAAATTACAGGCCTCTCTCATCTTTTTAAGTGGGAGAACTTGCACAATTGGTGGCTGACTAAATACTTTTTCCCCCCCACTGTATGTAAAGGTATTTCTGTTTTTTCTCTTTGTCATTATGGGGTATTGTGTGTAGATTGATGAGGGGGGAAAAAAGCAACTGAATCCATTTTAGAATAAGGCTGTAACGTAACAAAATGCACTTTGTCTTTAGTCCCAGCCTTCAGCTACCCTCAACCCGTCCCATCTATCTCTGAAGGCCATCCAGTTTTGATTTCTAGCTGCCATATATATATATATATATTTCTACTGTGCTGTTTCACAAAAGTTCTCAACCTTTCTATTCTCATAGTTTCTACAGATTGTAAATTAAAGAAACATTTTTGCTAAGAGTATTATTATATTATTGATCGATGGACTATGACTTTTCAAATCACCCAGCACTGCTATTAGCAGAGTTAGCTCCAAGTAAATGTTGCAATGTTTTTGCCATTCCTGAACCTGTGACCCAAAACAAGCTACATATGGGCAGTACCAAAATAAGTGAACTAATGATTCTGTCTCTTCGCAGAGCTGGGAAGGTTGTATCCCCCATATACAGTATATAACATTCTATTGGGAGGCAAGAATTTTGTATAATCATTTAAATTGAAAAATTTAGTTTTGAATCCGGCATCATTTTGTGTATCAGTTCATAAACCATGTGCCATGAAATCAGTACATCGAAAATCTCCTCCCAACTATTTTGCAGCTGTGAATTTTTTGGTCCTTAAATGAAACTGGTATACTTTATCACAATTTTCTTTAACCAATTTTGGTCTTTAAGAAAAGTTCCTTACCTTCTCCCATTTTCACTTGCCTCCTCCATCTTTGCGGTAATGCTGCAATCAGTTGGTTGTAACTTTGGATAGTGCAGACATTTCCATATATCTTTGTTAATTGCAAATGTGACATAACTCCACCAGTCCTATTTATGATGTAATTTACAAAGATCATACCGTTTTTTAAATCAATTAGTATATTTGAGTTTAACCATAATATATGTTCTATTATTTGTTCTGTCTTTTCTGGTAGATTAAACTGAAATTGCAACCAGCTTTCTATGGCTTGTTTCAAAATAGGGATATTTTGGAGATAATTTTCATTTCATTTTCAAATAACCGAAAGTGAGAGGTTGTAATCTGAATGAAGGGAAAAAGGCCATTCTTGAACACGGGGTGAGCCATTCTTACTAATCTGCTAGAGAACCAGTTTGGATTTAAGTATGTGTATAACTTAAGCCTTTAGTGAGAGATCCAATGCTTTGATATTTAATAATTTCTGCCCTCCGAATTCATATTCATTATATACAGTGGGGAAAAAAAGTATTTAGTCAGCCACCAATTGTGCAAGTTCTCCCACTTAAAAAGATGAGAGAGGCCTGTAATTTTCATCATAGGTACAAGTCAACTAGGACAGACAAAATGAGGAAAAAAAAAACAGAAAATCACATTGTAGGATTTTTTATGAATTTATTTGCAAATTATGGTGGAAAATAAGTATTTGGTCAATAACAAAAGTTTCTCAATACTTTGTTATATACCCTTTGTTGGCAATGACACAGGTCAAACGTTTTCTGTAAGTCTTCACAAGGTTTTCACACACTGTTGCTGGTATTTTGGCCCATTCCTCCATGCAGATCTCCTCTAGAGCAGTGATGTTTTGGGGCTGTCGCTGGGCAACACTGACTTTCAACTCCCTCCAAAGATTTTCTATGGGGTTGAGATCTGGAGACTGGCTAGGCCACTCCAGGACCTTGAAATGCTTCGTACGAAGCCACTCCTTCGTTGCCCGGGCGGTGTGTTTGGGATCATTGTCATGCTGAAAGACCCAGCCACGTTTCATCTTCAATGCCCTTGCTGATGGAAGGAGGTTTTCACTCAAAATCTCATGATACATGGCCCCATTCATTCTTTCCTTTACACGGATCAGTCGTCCTGGTCCCTTTGCAGAAAAACAGCCCCAAAGCATGATGTTTCCACCCCCATGCTTCACAGTAGGTATGGTGTTCTTTGGATGCAACTCAGCATTCTTTGTCCTCCAAACATGACGAGTTGAGTTTTTACCAAAAAGTTCTATTTTGGTTTCATATGACATTCTCCCAATCCTCTTCTGGATCATCCAAATGCACTCTAGCAAACTTCAATGTGATTTTTTGGATTTTTTTTTCTCAATTTGTCTGTCATAGTTGACGTGTACCTATGATGAAAATTACAGGCCTCTCTCATCTTTTTAAGTGGGAGAACTTGCACAATTGGTGGCTGACTAAATACTTTTTCCCCCCACTGTATGTAAAGGTATTTCTGTTTTTTCTCTTTGTCATTATGGGGTATTGTGTGTAGATTGATGAGGGGGGAAAAAAGCAACTGAATCCATTTTAGAATAAGGCTGTAACGTAACAAAATGCACTTTGTCTTTAGTCCCAGCCTTCAGCTACCCTCAACCCGTCCCATCTATCTCTGAAGGCCATCCAGTTTTGATTTCTAGCTGCCATATATATATATATATATTTCTACTGTGCTGTTTCACAAAAGTTCTCAACCTTTCTATTCTCATAGTTTCTACAGATTGTAAATTAAAGAAACATTTTTGCTAAGAGTATTATTATATTATTGATCGATGGACTATTACTTTTCAAATCACCCAGCACTGCTATTTGCAGAGTTAGCTCCAAGTAAATGTTGCAATTTATTTGCCATTCCTGAACCTGTGACCCAAAACAAGCTACATATGGGCAGTACCAAAATAAGTGAACTAATGATTCTGTCTCTTCGCAGAGCTGGAAAGGTTGTATCCCCCATATACAGTATATAACATTCTATTGGGAGGCAAGAATTTTGTATAATCATTTAAATTGAAAAATTTAGTTTTGAATCCGGCATCATTTTGTGTATCAGTTCATAAACCATGTGCCATGAAATCAGTACATCGAAAATCTCCTCCCAACTATTTTGCAGCTGTGAATTTTTTGGTCCTTAAATGAAACTGGTATACTTTATCACAATTTTCTTTAACCAATTTTGGTCTTTAAGAAAAGTTCCTTACCTTCTCCCATTTTCACTTGCCTCCTCCATCTTTGCGGTAATGCTGCAATCAGTTGGTTGTAACTTTGGATAGTGCAGACATTTCCATATATCTTTGTTAATTGCAAATGTGACATAACTCCACCAGTCCTATTTATGATGTAATTTACAAAGATCATACCGTTTTTTAAATCAATTAGTATATTTGAGTTTAACCATAATATATGTTCTATTATTTGTTCTGTCTTTTCTGGTAGATTAAACTGAAATTGCAACCAGCTTTCTATGGCATGTTTCAAAATAGGGATATTTTGGAGATAATTTTCATTTCATTTTCAAATAACCGAAAGTGAGAGGTTGTAATCTGAATGAAGGGAAAAAGGCCATTCTTGAACACGGGGTGAGCCATTCTTACTAATCTGCTAGAGAACCAGTTTGGATTTAAGTATGTGTATAACTTAAGCCTTTAGTGAGAGATCCAATGCTTTGATATTTAATAATTTCTGCCCTCCGAATTCATATTCATTATATAAATAGGCCCGTTAATTTTGTCTTGCTTGCAATTTCAAATAAAGTGGAATACTTTTTGCTAATTTCATTTAAAAAACACATTGTTAGGTGTAGGCAGGGCCATAAGTAAATAGGTAAACTGGGATATGACAAAATAATTAATCAGGGTGATTTTTTCACAAATAGACATGTGGCTATCTTTCTATTAAAATGTATTGTAGTGAGATGATTTATTTATTTCGGGATATGAATACCGAGTATGTCCACTTCACCGTCGGGCCATTTTATTGGTAAAGTTACACGGTAATGTAAAAGTTGTATTTTTTAGCGATGCAATACGTAATATGGTGCACTTACCATAATTCAGTTTTAATCCAGAGAGGTTAGAAAAATTATCTTGATGCTCCGAGGCTGTGCAGGGATCCAAATTGTGAATTTAAAAGAAAACATTAATCGTCAGCCTACAATGACACCTTTGTTTTTAAGCCCTGGATTTCTAGCCCCTTGATATTATTGTTGGATCTGATTTTAATAGTTAACATTTCGATGGCCATAATAAATAGATATGCCGATAGTGGACAACCTTGTTTTACTCCTCTTGACAATTTAATTATTTCTGAGAAGTAGCCATTATTTACTATTTTACACCTGGGGTTACTATACATATCTTTAACCCATTGTATAAGAGATTCTCCTAAATTAAAATAGTCCAAGCATTTATTTATAAACTCCAGTCATACTTTATCAAAGGCCTTTTCAAAGTCAGCTATGAATACCAGCTATAAAAAACCTGTCTGATTAGGATGAATAATATCCGACAATACCTTTCTAATTCTATGCGCTATGCATTTTGCTAGGATTTTGGCATCACAACACTGAAGTGTAAGGGGTCTCCAGTTTTTTAGGTGGACTGGATCTTTATATTTACAACCTGGGTCCTGTTTCAGTAATAGCGAAATTAGAGCTACTTGCTAAATATTTGATTGTCTACCATTTTTATAGGAGTGGTTAAAACATGTTAATAACGGATCTTTCAGTACGTAGGAAAATATTTGATATACCTCAATTGGTATGCCATCAAGCCTTGGAGTTTTCCCAGAATTTAAGGCTTTAATTGCATCTGGAAGTTCCTCCTCTGTAATTAGGCTTTCACTTGAGTATTTCTGTATTGCTGTTAATTTTACACTATTAATAGAAAATAAATCCTTACAATTAACTTCCGTTGGTGGAGATGGAGGAGACTGAAATGAAAACATATGCTTAAAGTACTTTGCTTTCTCTTTCAAAATATCGTTTGGTGAATCATGGATGACAAGTTTCTGTAAATTCTTTTTGGTAGCATTTCTATGTAAAAATATAAATAATTTGATGCATTTTCCTCCATATTCCATCCAGTTTGCTTTATTTTTATAATATATTACACTTGATCTTTCTTGAATAGTTTTTCCTCTAACTTACACTATATATACAAAGGTATGTGGAAACCCCTTCAAATTAGTGGATTTGTCTATTTCAGCGACACCCGTTGCTGACAGGTGTATAAAATCGAGCACACAGCCATGCAATCTCCATAGACAAACATTGGCAGTACAATGGCCTTACTGAAGAGCTCAGTGACTTTCAACATGGCACCGTCATAGGATGCCACCTTTCCAACAAGTCAGTTTGTCAGATTTCTGCCCTGCTAGAGCTGCCCCGGTCAACTATAAGTGCTGTTATTGTGAAGTGGAAACGTCTAGGAGCAACAACGGTTCAGTCGCGAAGTGGTAGGCCACACAAGCTCACAGAATGAGTGCTGAAGCGCGTAAAAATCGTCTGCAACACTCACTACCGAGTTCCAAACTGCCTCTGGAAGCAATGTCAGCACAATAACTGTTAGTCGGGAGCTTAATGAAATGGGTTTCCATGACTGAGCAGCTGCACACAAGCCTAAGATCCCCATGCGCAATGCCAAGCGTCGGCTGGATTGGTGTAAAGCACGCCGCCATTGCACTCTGAAGCAGTGGAAACGCGTTCTCTGGAGTGATGAATGACGCTTCACCATCTGGCAGTCCGACTGAGGAATCCGGATTTGGCGGATGCCAGGAGAACGCTACCTGCCCGAATGCATAGTGTCAACTGTAAAGTTTGGTGGAAGAGGAATAATGGTCTGGGGTTGTTTTTAATTGTTCGGACTAGGCCCTTTAGTTCCAGTGAAGGGGAATCTTAACGCTACAGCATACAATTACATTCTAGACGAATCTGTGCTTCCAACTTTGTGGCAACAGTTTGGGGAAGGTCCTTTCCTGTTTCAGCATGACAATGCCACCGTGCACAATGCGAGGTCCATACAGAAATGGTTTGTCGAGATCGGTGTGGAAGAACTTGACTGGCCTGCACAGATCCCTGACCTCAACCCCATCGAACACCTTTGGGATGAATTGAAACGCCGACTGCGAGCCAGGCCTAATCGCCGAACATCAGTGCCTGACCTCACTAATGTTCTTGTTGCTGAATGGAAGCAAGTCCCCACAGCAATGTTCCAACATCTAGTGGTAAGCCTTCCCAGAAGGGTGGAGGCTGTTATAGCAGCCAAGGGGGACCAACTCCATATTAATGCCCATGATTTTGGAATGAGATGTTGGATGAGCAGGTGTCCACATACTTTTGGTAATGTAGTATATTCTGTGCCTCTGTTACAGTTTTTATTTATATCTGTACTGTTAGTTCCTCTATTTCCTTTTTTAAGAGACACTCTTTTGAACTAAATTGTTTTAGTTTTATATATGAGCATTGAATTGCATGGCCTCTAAAGGCACATTTAAAAGGGTCCCATACAATAAGGGGGATCTGCTGTACCTATGTTATGTAGGAAAAAGTCAGTTATAAATTATTCTGTCTTGGTTAAAAACAAGTTGCCATCCAGTAGGCTTTGATTACATTTCCAAAATCCTCGCCCTCATGGAAATTCTTTAAGAGTAATGTGTATACCAATTATTTGATGGTCCGACCGCATTCTGTCTCCTATCATGGTGAAAATGACATCAGAAAGTAGTTAAGACTACTAGCTTGATTTAGGCTCCGCCAAGTATATCTCATTAGGTCAGGATATTTAAGCCTCCATATATCTACTAGTTCCAATTTATCCATAATATTTGTAATTTCCTTAAGTGCATGAAGGTGATAATTTGTAGTGTGATTTACTTTATGTTCCATTGAGGTATCTCCCACCATAATAATTGAGTAATGTATTCCATATCATTCTTAAGTATATATCTTTGGTGTATATATATTTTTTAGTTTCTAGTGTTTTATTATTATTATTTGTGTACTTGTTTGACATTTGTGCTGCACTGATAGGAGCTAGTAGCAATCATTTGAGTGGTGCAGTGGTCTAAGGCACTGCATCGCAGTGCTAACTGTGCCACTAGAGATCCTGGTTCGAATCCAGGCTCTGTCGCAGCCGGCCGCGACCGGGAGACTCATGGGCGGCGCACAATTGGCCCAGCGTCGTCCAGGGTAAGGGAGGGAATGGCCGGCAGGGATGTAGCTCAGTTGATAGAGCATGGCGTTTGCAACGCCAGGGTTGTGGGTTCGATTCCCATGGGGGGCCAGTATAAAAAAATAAAATAAAAAATAAAATAAAATAACCTTGTATTCACTAACTGTAAGTCGCTCTGGATAAGAGCGTCTGCTAAATGACTAAAATGTAAATGTAAAAAATTTGCTGCACCCGCTATTACATCTTCCAAACTGTGCAAAAGTATTCTTCCCCCTTGGCGTTTTTCCTATTTTGTTGCATTACAACCTGTATTTTAAATTTATTTTTATTTAGATTTCATGTAATGGACATACACAAAATAGTCAAAATTGGTGAAGTGAAATGAAAAAAATAACTTGTTTCAAAAAAATTCGAAAAGATAAATAACGGAAAAGTGGTGCATGCATATGTATTCACCCCCTTTGCTATGAAGCCCCTAAATAAGATCTGGTGCAACCAATTACCTTCAGAAGTCACATAATTAGTTAAATAAAGTCCACGTGTGCAATCTAAGTGCCACATGATGTCAATATATATACACACCTGTTCTGAAAGGCCCCAGAGTCTGCAACACCACTAAGCAAGGGGCACCAACAAGCAAGCGGCACCATGTAGACCGAGGAGCTCTCCAAACAGGTCAGGGACAAAGTTGTGGAGAAGTACAGATCAGGGTTGGGTTATAAAAAAATATCAGAAACTTTGAACATCCCACGGAGCACCATTAAATCCATTATTAAAAAATTGAAAGAATATGGCACCACAACAAACCTGCCAAGAGAGGGCCGCCCACCCAAACTCACAGACCAGGCAATCAGAGGCAACAAAGAGACCAAAGATAACCCTGAAGGAGCTGCAAAGCTCCACAGCAGAGATTGGAGTATCTGTCCATAGGACCACTTTAAGCAGTACACTCCACAGAGCTGGGCTTTACCTTAGTGGCGCCAGAAAAAAGCCATTGCTTAAAGAAAAAAATAAGCAAACACGTTTGGTGTTCGCCAAAAGCCATGTGGAAGACTCCCCAAACATATGGAAGAAGGTTCTCTGGTCAGATGAGACTAAAATTGAGCTTTTTGACCATCAAGGAAAACGCTATGTCTGGCGCAAACCCAACACCTCTCATCACCCGAGAACACCATCCCCACAGTGAAGCATGGTGGTGGCAGCATCATGCTGTGGTGATGTTTTTCATCGTCAGGGACTGGGAAACTGGTCAGAATTGAAGGAATGATGGATGCCGCTAAATACAGGGAAATTCTTGAGGGAAACCTGTTTCAGTCTTCCAGAGATTTGAGACTGGGACGGAGGTTCACCTTCCAGCAGGACAATGACCCTAAGCATACTGCTAAAGCAACACTTGAGTGGTTTAAGGGGAAACAATTAAATGTCTTGGAATGGCCTAGTCAAAGCCCAGACCTCAATCCAATTGAGAATCTGTGGTATGACTTAAAGATTGCTGTACACCAGCGGAACCCATCCAACTTGAAGGAGCTGGAGCAGTTTTGCCTTGAACAATGGGCAATAATCCCAGTGGCTAGATGTGCCAAGCTTATAGAGACATATCCCAAGAGACTTGCAGCTGTAATTGCTGCAAAAGGTGGCTCTACAAAGTATTGACTTTGGGGGGGGGGGGGGGGGGGTGAATAGTTATGCACACTCAAGTTCAGTTTTTTTGTCTTGTTTCACAAAAAAAAAATTTTTTGCATCTTCAAAGTGGTAGGCATGTTGTGTAAATCAAATGATACAAATCAATTTTAATTCCAGGTTGTAAGGCAACAAATTAGGAAAAATGCCAAGGGGGGTGAATAGTTTCGCAAGCCACTGTATAAGGGAAAAGAAAACCTACCAAAATGTCAGTTCCTCGAAAACATTATCTTTAATTGAACAGCGTAAATGTACAGCAAGTCAGGGCTTTCGTTCTGAAGATCTGTGGTAGTGCTCTCTGTCATCTCTCTAGGGTAGTCTCCCCTCTAGTCTGGAACACAAGGAAACACTCAATCTCGCTCTGACAGGGACACAAGGTGGACATCGATTTCAGTCTCTGTCAGGATCCTGCAAAGAGAGAGAGATATATAAGAACACAAGTACTGACTGCGGATGCCTGGTCCTTTATACATATCGCCAAAGATGGTTTAGTATGTAGATATGTAGAAACTGCTTCTCCAATAGAAATCCTCGATCAAGCTTGTAGGAGATGTCATGCTGATGTCAAGCAGTTTTTTGACAAATTAAAAAGTGTCACTGTGACACTTTCACAATGTTGTAGTAATGACATTCAGCTACTTAAAACACTGGCTTGAATCTATAGTCGTGATCAAAAGTTGAGAATGACACAAATATTAATTTTCACAAAGTCTGCTGTCTCAGTTTTTATGATGGCAATTTGCATATACTCCAGAATGTTATGGAGAGTGATCAGACGAATTGCAATTAATTGCAAAGTCCCTCTTTGCCATGAAAATGAACTTAATCCCCAAAAAACATTTCCACTGCATTTCAGCCCTGCCACAAAAGGACCAGCTGACATCATGTCAGTGATTCTCTCGTTAACACAGGTGAGAGTGTTGACGAGGACAAGGCTGGAGATCACTCTGTCATGCTGATTAAGTTAGAATAACAGACTGGAAGCTTTAAAAGGAGGGTGGTGCTTGAAATCATTGTTCTTCCTCTGTTAACCCTAGTTACCTGCAAGGAAACACGTGCCGTCATCATTGCTTTGCACAAAAAGGGCTTCACAGGCAAGGATATTGCTGCTAGTAAGATTGCACATAAATCAACCATTTATCGGATCATCAATAACTTCAAGGAGAGAGGTTCAATTGTTGTGAAGAAGGCTTCAGGGCGCCCAAGAAAGTCCAGCAAGCACCAGGACCGTCTCCTAAAGTTGATTCAGCTGCGGGATCGGGGCACCACCAGTGCAGAACTTGCTCAGGAATGGCAGCAGGCAGGTGTGAGTGCATCTGCACGCACAGTGAGGCAAAGACTTTTGGAGGATGGCCTGGTGTCAAAGAGGGCAGCGAGGAAGCCACTTCTCTCCAGGAAAAACATCAGGAACAGACTGATATTCTGTAAAAGGTACAGGGATTGGACTGCTGAGGACTGGGGTAAAGTCATTTTCTCTGATGAATCCCCTTTCCGATTGTTTGGGGCATCCGGAAAAAAGCTTGTCCGGAGAAGACAAGGTGAGTGCTACCATCAGTCCTGTGTCATGCCAACAGTAAAGCATCCTGAAACCATTAATGTGTGGGGTTGCTTCTCAGCCAAGGGAGTGGGCTCACTCACAAGTTTGCCTAAGAACACAGCCATGAATAAAGAATGGTACCAACACATCCTCCGAGAGCAACTTCTCCCAACCATCCAAGAACAGTTTGGTGACGAACAATGCCTTTTCCAGCATGATGGAGCACCTTGCCATAAGGCAAAAGTGATAACTAAGTGGCTCGGGGAACAAAACATCGACATTTTGGGTCCATGGTCAGGAAACTCCCCAGACCTTAATCTCATTGAGAACTTGTGGTCAATCCTCAAGAGGCGGGTGGACAAACAAAAACCCACAAATTCTGACAAACTCCAAGCATTGATTACGCAAGAATGGGCTGCCATCAGTCAGGATGTGGCCCAGAAGTTAATTGACAGCATGCCAGGGCGGATTGCAGAGGTCTTGAAAAGAAAGGTCAACACTGCAAATATTGACTCTTTGCATAAACTTAATGTAATTGTCAATAAAAGCCTTTGACACTTATAATTATACTTCAGTATACCATAGTAACATCTGACAAAAATATCTAAAAACACTGAAGCAGCAAACTTTGTGAAGACCAATGCTTGTGTCATTCACAAAACTTTTGACCACGACTGTAGGTAGTGCCTTTAGAAATGTAGAAAATTAACAACTAAGGAAGAATTCGCAAGCATTCCCGGAAGTATCGCAACGTTGGGCCGCTGGGTTTAGAAACTCTGTTATAAAGAGGTTTTGGACAGAACGGCGTTATGTCCACAGTGTGTTTACACAATAAATAAAACTATTTAAGAAAATAAAGGATAAGATTTCAGATTGCATGTTTGTGATGTCTGGGAGATCTAAACTTTATAGTTACAATAAAACATCCTGTTCTTTTTTGCACCAACATTTGACAAGTTCCATCACTATTAAACAATTCCCTTGGAGACTCACCTGAATTTAGGGTCTTCTATTGTAATGACACCGATCTCTAGCTCGGAGGGCTTGAAGTCAATGGACAGCACCGTAGACAGACAAGTTATCGCCGTCTGTAAACAGAAGAGGATGAAACTCAAAGTACAATGTCATTCAAATGGGGACTAGCTTGCTGATTTAGTTTGCAATCTTTTTTATGTCAATGGGTATGGTATTTTACCTCGATTGTTTGTGCGAACGTCCAGTCCAGTTTCTTCTTGACCTTTTTCTCCAAGAAGCTGGTGGCCTCTGTCTGTTTGACCCCAGCAGCGGTGGCCTTGAAGCCACAGTAGTATCCTGCAGGGTCACACTTAAACACCTGGGGACCCCACTCCTCATCCACACCAATCACTATCATGCCTGCAACAATAATTAACAAAAAATATGCATTGAGTGAGACCAAAGGCCAAAACTTTTCTTAAATATATATATACAGTGGGGAAAAAAAGTATTTAGTCAGCCACCAATTGTGCAAGTTCTCCCACTTAAAAAGATGAGAGAGGACTGTAATTTTCATCATAGGTACACGTCAACTATGACAGACAAAATGAGGAAAAAAAATCCAGAAAATCACATTGTAGGATTTTTAATGAATTTATTGGCATATGATGGTGGAAAATAAGTATTTGGCCAATAACAAAAGTTTCTCAATACTTTGTTATATACCCTTTGTTGGCAATGACACAGGTCAAACGTTTTCTGTAAGTCTTCACAAGGTTTTCACACACTGTTGCTGGTATTTTGGCCCATTCCTCCATGCAGATCTCCTCTAGAGCAGTGATGTTTTGGGGCTGTCGCTGGGCAACACAGACTTTCAACTCCCTCCAAAGATTTTCTATGGGGTCGAGATCTGGAGACTGGCTAGGCCACTCCAGGACCTTGAAATGCTTCTTACGAAGCCACTCCTTCGTTGCCCGGGCGGTGTGTTTGGGATCATTGTCATGCTGAAAGACCCAGCCACGTTTCATCTTCAATGCCCTTGCTGATGGAAGGAGGGTTTCACTCAAAATCTCACGATACATGGCCCCATTCATTCTTTCCTTTACACGGATCAGTCGTCCTGGTCCCTTTGCAGAAAAACAGCCCCAAAGCATGATGTTTCCAACCCCATGCTTCACAGTAGGTATGGTGTTCTTTGGATGCAACTCAGCATTCTTTGTCCTCCAAACATGACGAGTTGAGTTTTTACCAAAAAATTATATTTTGGTTTCATCTGACCATATGACATTCTCCCAATCCTCTTCTGGATCATCCAAATGCACTTCAGACGGGCCTGGACATGTACTGGCTTAAGCAGGGGGACACGTCTTGCACTGCAGGATTTGAGTCCCTGGCGGCGTAGTGTGTTACTGATGGTTGGCTTTGTTACTTTGGTCCCAGCTCTCTGCAGGTCATTCACTAGGTCCCCCCGTGTGGTTCTGGGATTTTTGCTCACCGTTCTTGTGATCATTTTGACCCCACGGGGTGAGATCTTGCGTGGAGCCCCAGATCGAGGGAGATTATCAGTGGTCTTGTATGTCTTCCATTTCCTAATAATTGCTCCCACAGTTGATTTCTTCAAACCAAGCTGCTTACCTATTGCAGATTCAGTCTTCCCAGCCTGGTGCAGGTCTACAATTTTGTTTTTGGTGTCCTTTGACAACTCTTTGGTCTTGGCCAAAGTGGAGTTTGGAGTGTGACTGTTTGAGGTTGTGGACAGGTGTCTTTTATACTGATAACAAGTTCAAACAGGTGCCATTAATACAGGTAACGAGTGGAGGACAGAGGAGCCTCTTAAAGAAGAAGTTACAGGTCTGTGAGAGCCAGAAATCTTGCTTGTTTGTAGGTGACCAAGATACTTATTTTCCACCATAATTTGCAAATAAATTCATTAAAATCATACAATGGGATTTTCTGGATTTTTTTCTCAATTTGTCGGTTCAGAGTTTGACGTGTACCTATGATGAAAATTACAGGCCTCTCTCATCTTTTTAAGTGGAGAAAATGCACAAATTGGTGGCGACTAAATACTTTTTTTCCCCACTGTATCTTGAAACTTCTCAGCTACACTGGTGTCTTTTGTTGTTTTTGACAATTTTGTAACACTTACAGCAACCAAGAGGTCTCATCTCAGCGTTCTGTGTGTACACCTGAGAGATGTCAGCCATCCTCTTACACAGCATGTCCACTGGGATCTCATAACCGTACTTGTACTTCCAGTTGGCTGCCTCGTAACGAGCCCTCTGGACTTGGGACTTGCTGTCAGCTGAACACAAATGAATCGGTCACGATTAGTCATTATAACATACATTAAGTAATACATTTCATAAGGTTGATTGTGTATTGGATATTTCAACATTAACACGTTTCTTACCCGTCATTCCAGACATGACACAGCCAATGTTTTCAGTGATTCTGAATAAGTGTGTGACTGTGGATGCATCAAGAAGCTTGTCCTATGGGAGAGATTGAAGAGTACATCTGATTACATCACATAGCCATATTGATAACTGAGTACTGAAATAGTCATGAAGGGTGTTCTTACTGGAACTTTCTTCTGTGTGACGACAACTGCACAGTCTTGTCCTCGGATAGCTACTGAGGTAAGGCCACCTTGGTTGATAGCCTTGAATGCATATTCTTGGAAAATAAACAGAACAGGGGAAAATTATGCACCACTCCAGACTTTTGTTAAGGTGAGAGATCAACAGCTTCAAAGATGTCACTGCATGTCATGATGAAGGCTATTCACCACATTGAGGGGCTTGGACCATGAATGCAACTGCAGCCATAACACTCGACGAATGACAAGAACAAAATGTTTAACAACTCATTACTGGACAGCTAGTTGCTGCTAAGCTAGCCTCCTAAGGCCATGGTGTAACGGTCTACTTCTGTCAAATAACGTTACAGGAATAGCTAGTTCTAAAGTTAGCTTGCTAACTGCTTCAAGCTAAGCATGAATTAGAATTGTATCAGATAGCTAGGTCAGCTGGCTAACTAGCTAGTTTAACTGCTAGTAGTTAGAAAACAATCAATGAGCTAGCTGTTAGAAATCTGACAGTATTAACATACTTTATCCATTAACTGACATTATAAAGCAGCTAATTAGCTTTAATATTTTTAACTGAGCTAACGTTAGGTATGGAACAGGTTAGATAACATTAGCTACCTAGCTAGTTGGCTACCGATAATGACTGGGCAAGTTGGTATTCTTTAATTTCTTCAGAACTATCCCATACTAACCGACTTGGTAGAGTCTGCCCTCCGGAGAGAAGATTGTAATATGTCGGTCAAATCCTGCACTCGACCCTCTGGACATTGTGTTGGTAAATGTGTATAAAAGTTGTAAACTGAAAACAGAACTACTGAGGAAAAAGATAATGCAAGACAATGACCCCGGAACTGGTTTAGGAACAGTAGTTGATGTCCGGGTCAAGCGAAGAGAGGGCCGTAGTTTACTCATACACTTCTTGGTTTACTGAATGCATTTTCAAAAACATATTCTAGGACTGAAAGTAATTTTTTTCCAAGAACAAAAAACGTTTTTTTCAGTCTTTTAATATTTTTTCACATGCTATAGTTTCATTAATGAACACTGTATTTACAGGTTTGTGAAGATCAAACAGTTCTAAGCAGGTCCTTATTTTGCCCGGGTGAGACACAGCCACTTCTGTGGAACTTCATAAGTGCATCTCTCTGCCCCATTCTCATCATAGGGGATGTGCCAGGAGCCTCCATTTGTCTGGACAATGGTGTCATAAGTTAATATCCTCTGGAAAAAGATTCACAGAACAACACAAGAATTGTAATAAACATACACATGCCATATTTATTTGTTTATCAATGTGCCTTTTAGGTCCTCATGTTGACAATAGATACTATACTATGCATTTATGCATTGATGTGTAATAAATAAGCAAACTATTTCCCTGTTACTCTCACCTGGAATCGTACTCTCTTTCCCGGGGTGTAGCTGCTCAGCACCAGCTGGTGACCTCTCTGCCACTTGAAGAAGAGGCGTCGGGTGGCACCGTCAGGCAGGCAGGCCTTGTGGTCCCTCATCAGGTCCCGGCTAACAAAGTTACAGTGGTTCCCAGAGTGCAGTGTGGCATACAGCAGGAAAGGGTCATCCTCAGAACTGACAACCAACCAGAGGTGTCAACATCCAAACAAACCCAAATAATCCATATTGGGTACTTTACCCAATGTATTGCACAAAAATATATATTTTCTTTCAGCCTTTAGTTATTCTCTTTGAGTGACCTGTACTCTTGTAATATGGATATGAATGATCCACCAGAAAGCTTTGGTTTGTAAGACATATAGGGCTGAACTCACATGTTGTCCGTGAAGAAGCAGTGGGCCTTCTGCTGGACCAAGCTCATGTCATTTCTGTCCCAGCTGCGTGAGGGCCGCTGCATGTGCTTCCTCCCCAGGACCAGGATGACCAGGCCCTGGCGCTCCAGCTCCGACACCACCTCCAAGAGCTGCATAGAAACACCAACACGATTAGTCATCATCACATATGTCACACCAGGGTATTTTTCATTAGGCACCAAACGGAACACAATATATTGAAGGACTACCTAGACTTGTCCAAAAAGAAACTATTTTTTTTGCACATTATTTTAAAAAAGTTATCTGTTGCGTGCCGGCCCTAATGAACATGACCCAGTCAAGGCACAGAAAAGGGTTATTTTGCTTTTAGAAAATCAACAAAGGTTAGCCAATATGATGCATTGTACTTCGGGTTAACATTCTCCCATCCTTCAAAGGAAGATTTGAATGAAAAAACACAATGCATTCGCCCATTGGGACATATACCCAGTACAGTCATGTGTTACTACCCTCATCCTCTTCCACTGTAGGGAATTTTCCTGGCCGAGTCTGAGACAATTGACACACAAGATGTAGGGAAATTCATTCTTTCAATGCTTAAAGGGGCAGTGCAGTCAAAAACGCAATTTCATTTGTTTTGTATACACTGAGTGTACAAAACATTAGGAACACCTGCTCTTTCCATGACATAGACTAACCAGTTGAATCCAGGTGAAAGTTATGATCCCTTCTTGATCTCACTTGTTAAATCCACTTCAATCAGTGTATATGAAGGGGAGGAGACAGGTTAAATAAGGATGTTTAAGCCTTGAGACATGGATTGTGTATGTGTGCCATTCAGAGGGTGAATGAGCATGACAAAAGATTTAAGTGCCTTTGAACGGGGTATGGAAGTAGGTGCCAGGCGCACTGGTTTGTGTCAAGAATGGCAATGCTGCTGGGTTTTTCACACTCAACAGTTTTCCGTGTGTATCAAGAATAGTCCACCACCCAAAGGACATCCAGCCATATTTCCACACTATGAGGTTGGAACAATACTGTGAAAATTATGATAATGCACTGAAATTTCATCTTGTTTGGCTTTGTGTGGTTTTTGGACTGTATAAGTTAATAGACCAATAATAAAGAGAGTTTGCCCTCCTCTCTGCCAATAATGGCTAGTTTTCAGGTTACGCGTCCATTCCCATTAGGCTCCTCCAATGAGGCCCCTCTCTCAGAGAGTCCTAGCAAAACTCTTGCTTGAGAAATTGCATTTGGCTAAGAAGCTATTTTTGTTTATTTTTTGACAATTTTAATGAAAATCAATCACAGCACAGTACTTAATTGTTACCCAGAAATGACTTGATATTGTGATAAAAACGTCTGCATTGGACCTTTAACCCATGTTTTGGCTTCTTTGGTAATACTTACTGGTTCACTCAGAGGTGATGGCGTCTTTCCTACCCGACACAAAAAAGGGGAAGTTAAAAAGTTTATTGACTTGTGTTACATTGTGAAATAAGGCTAAAATAATGAGGACCCATGCAAAAACTATGCCATCATTTAGCACATTTTAATAAGATCACACCCGGTTCTCTTTCTGTCCACTCTAGATGAGGAAGTGTTGACCTGGGAACAGCCGGTGGTTGTGGGCGTGGCTATTTTCTTCTGACTCATGTAATGATGGGGAAGTGAACTAGTAACAGCAGGTGTGAGGTTTACCAAGTAAAGCACGAGACAAGAACTTGTACCTGTAACTTGAAGCAATTTATATTTCTCACCACATTGTTTTATTCTCTGTTTGTGCATATGGAAAAAATATACCCAGAATAATTGTTTTATTACACAATAATGTCTATATTAAATGTACACTGAACAAAAATATAAATGCACCATGTAAAGTGTTGGTCCCATGTTTCATGAGCTGAAATAAAAGATCCCAGAAACTTTCCATACGCACAAAAAGCTTATTTCAAAATAAAAAAAATCGCACAAATTGGTTTACATCCCTGTTAGTGAGCATTTCTCAGTTTCCAAGATAATCCATCCACCTGACATGTGTGGCATATCAAGAAGCTGATTAAACAGCATGCTCATTACACAGGTGCATCTTGTGCTGGGGACAATAAAATGCCACTCTAAAATGTGCAGTTTTGTCACAACACAATGCCACAGATGCAATTGGCATGCTGACTGCAGGAATGCTGTTGCCTGAGAACTGAATGTTGATTTCTCTACCATAAGCCACCTCCAACGTCGTTTTAGAGAATTTGGCAGTACATCCAACTGGCCTCACAACCACAGACCACATACAGTGCCTTCGGAAAGTATTAAAACCCCTTGACTTTTTTCACATCTTGTTACGTTACAGCATCATTCTAAAATTGATTAAATAAAACTATTTCCTCATCAATCTACACACAATACCCCATAATGGCAATTGAAAACAGGTTTTTGGACATTTTTGGAAATGTATAAAAAAATAAAAAACAGAAATACCTTATTTACATAAGTATTCAGACCCTTTGCTATGAGACTCAAAATTGAGCTCAGCTGCATCCTGTTTCCATTTATCATCCTTGAGATGTTTCTGCAACTTGATTGGAGTCCACCTGTGGTAAATTCAATTTATTGGACATGATTTGGAAAGGCACACACCTGTCTATATAAGGTCCCATAGTTGACAGTGCATGTCAGAGCAAAAACCAAGCCATGAGGTCGAAGGAATTGTCCGTAGAGCAATCTGGGGAGAAGGGCCTTGGTCAGGGAGGTGACCAAGAACCCGATGGTCACTCTGACAGAGCTCTAGAGTTCCTCTGTGGAGATGGGAGAACCTTTCAGAAGGACAACCATCTCTGCAGCACTCCACCAATTAGGCCATTATGGTAGAGTGGCCAGACGGAAGACACTCCTCAGTAAAAGGCACATGACAGCCCGCTATTAGTTTTCCAAAAGGCACCTAAAGACTCTCAGACCATGAGAAACAAGATTCTCTGGTCTGATGAAACCAATATTGAACTCTTTGGCCTAAATGCCAAGAGTCACATCTGGAGGAAACCTGGCACCATCCCTACGGTGAAGCATAGTGGTGGCAGCATCATGCTGTGGGGAAGTTTTTCAGCGGCAGGGACTGCGAGATGTCAGGATTGAGGCAAAGATGAACGGAGCAAAGTACAGAGAGATCCTTGATGAAAACCTGCTCCAGAGCACTCAGGACCTCAGACTGGGGCGAAGGTTCACCTTCCAACAGGACAACGACCGTAAGCACACAGCGAAGAACACACAGGAGTGGCTTTGGGACAAGTCTCTGAATGTCCTTGAGTGGCCCAGCCAGAGCCCAGACTTGAACCCGATCTAACATCTCTAGAGAGACCTGAAAATAGCTGTGCAACAACGCTCCCCATCCAACCTGACAGACCATTAGAGGATCTGCAGAGAAGAATGGGAGAAACTCCCCAACTACAGGTGTGCCAAGCTTGTAGCATCATACCCAGGAAGACTTGAGGCTGTAATCGCTACCAAAGGTGCTTCAACAAAGTACTGAGTAAAGGGTCTGAATACTTATGTAAATGTGATATTTAATATTTTTGTTTTTATATCAATTTGCTACAATTTCTAAAAACCAGTTTTTGCTTTGTCATTATGGGGTGTTGTGTGTAGATTGATGAGGGAAAAAAACAATTTAATCCATTTTAGAATAAGGCTGTAACGTAACAAAATGTGGAAAAAGTCAAGAGGTATGAATACTTTCCGAAGGCACTGTATATGGCGTCATTTGGGCGAGCGGTTTGCTGCTGCAATGTTGTGAACAGAGTGCCCCATGGTAGCGGTGGGGTTATGGTATGGGCAGGCATAAGCTACGGACAATGAACACAATTGCATTTTATCGATGGCAATTTTAATTCAAAGATACCATGACGAGATCCTGAGGCCCATTGTCGTGCCATTCATCCGCCGCCATCATGTTTCAGCATGATAATGCACAGCCCCATGTCGCAAGGATCTGTACACAATTCCTGGAAGCTGAAAATGTCCCAGTTCTTCCATGGCCTGCATATTCACCAGACATGTCACCCATTGAGCATGTTTGGGATGCTCTGGATCGACGTGTACAGCAGCGTGTTCCAGTTCCCACCAATATCCAGCAACTTCGCACAGCCATTGAAGAAGAGTGGGACAACATTGCACAGGCCACAATCAACAGCCTGATCAACTCTATGCGAAGGAGATGTGTCATGCTGCATGAGGCAAATGGTGGTCACACCAGATATTGACAGGTTTTCTGATCCATGCCCCTGTGACGGCCGCACCGCGAGCCGCACAGTAAAAACCGCTGCCTAACAAATATCCCTTTCATTTTATGCACTCAGTTTGCACTATATACTGTACATGGCGATACACATAATATATAAATGATGACGTGACACATTCTTTCTTATATCCCATACATAACTTTATTGCAGAAATACAGTTTGACATTTGCTATCATTGTTTTCTATGTTGAGTGCACGCTTCATAGTTTACGTGGTAACAGTCATTGGAATAATTTAACTCAATCATCTAACTTTATAATTTAACCATTATCATTCTCAAGCAAATAGTCAGTTCAATGTAATGTCTTGTTTACCTCCGTGTCTCAGCAGTCTTAAAGGCGTTACATGGTCAATCTGACTTTTCCATTGGCCGTGCAGCATTTACGGTGATACGGCCTCTGCAGAAGTCAGGGCATTCATACTTTGTGTGCTTCGCTGAGCAGCGCAGAGCTGTTGTGAAGGAAGTTGTCAAGGAAGTGAGTTTGTGTTTATACAGGACTTCCCACACTCACCTACCGTCAACCAATCATGTCAATGCGGAGCTATAGGAAGCTCTCCGCATTTTTACAAAATTTGAGAGGCGCTCGGCTATGCGGTACAGAGCTCAATTTGGCCTCTGCATGCCCCTCCGACCACATTTTCGGATCAAGCATAAATTGGCTATTACAGCCCCACGTCTGCAGCATGGATGCCGCTGTGTTCTGGTAAAGGAGGTCCAACTGGAATCCCAGGGTTAAAATAATGCCAACCCTCTGTTCACCCCGGGGAACTCTTTTTTTCCCCCCTTGAAGAGTTTAAAATAGTGAAGTACAGTTATACATTGATATTGTGTACTGTTATTGCTAAAATAATTATTGTATTTAAAAACATGATCTGTATATCTAAAC